CCCGTCGTGCTGGCCGGCTCCAGACCGTTTTATCCACGGCACAAGCAAGCTTTTAAACTGCCCTCGAGGCCGTCTGGGCTGCTTTGGCTGCTCCTGTGGTTTCTTGTCATCAATGTCGCCGCCGTCGTTCTCTTTGGCGCAAGATGAAACGTACACATCACGTGAGGGATGAACAGCGTTCGAGGTGTTGGTTATTTTTGGGAGAAACGAAGCAGGAGACAACAAGCCGGGGTCCAACAGTCAACTGCGAGGCCTCTGCCCTTTTTCTTTTTCCTTCTCGCGCCGAAGAACGGTCCTTTTTACGCGAGCTGGTGAGACGAAACTGATGTTGTCCTGCGTCTGTTTGAGGACGTCGAGAACTCTACGATGTGGGGGAAGTTCCCCGGCGAGGAGAGAGCCGACAAAAGATAGCGAGAGGGTTGCCAGCTCTAGTCCGCTTAGCCGTGACAATGAAACTAGATGCGGTTTCAATAACGGTGGAGCGAAGATATAGTTGAAACTACAGACGAGTTCGGGGATACGGGGGATTGATGTGGCAGTTGCTTGGGGGGTTCAGGAAATGTCGGAAACAAAAGGAAGATGGCGAGCCCGAGGTAAAAAGTACAGATGATAATATACAAAGCCGTATCCGACCGCCGTCTATCGTACCCGTATCATATATCTAGCTATTCCCTATTAAAGCGGTTTGATGGATTCCAGTAACTTGGATTCTGGAGCACTCAGGTCATTGCCGGCCATGGATGATTCAGCCTCTGCCTCTGTAATCTCTGTGCCAGCGAAAGCTGCCCTGCTGCTCTGTTGCAGCACAATCTCAGTCTCTGCCCACTTCTTCCAGCGGTCGTACTCTTGGTTCTCAAGCTCCATTCCAATAGTGTTTTCGTCTAAGCCGAAGTATGCACCGGTTGCTCTGGCCTCCTCTTGAGCAATTCTTCTTTCGACGTCCTCCTGGAGTCGAAGTTTGTAAAATTCACGGCGAGCAATATCGTAAGCTTGCTCCTTGGTGATATCTGGTACCGTATTGAGAAGATGCAACTGTCTCTGAACAACACTGCAAGTTTATAGTGTGGTTAGTCGACGATGGAAAACACTGTCCTGTAGAGCTGAAGAGCTTAAGGGTAAATAAATACCTTTCTCCATCCACACGTTTCCTATTCTGTTGCAGGCTATCCCAGTTATACCGCATGTGGTCCTTTCCGTCGCTCTCCAGTACCACTCTCGGCCGCGCAAGTTCCCATGGGTGGTCACGATAAAATTCTCTTCGTAGCTGGTCTTCCTCGAACTCCATTTTTACCGGTTGGAACATGCGACTGGGCTTCTTAGACTTTGTACGGCGGGTAGGGCGAGTTTCGATGACGCTCCGGGGCTCCGTCTTTCCAGGTAGCGTCTTCATTCTTTCTCTGGTAAGAGGATGCTGTTGTGGTAGGTTTCGCACCAACACGCTCGATGGCGGGATTCTCTCCATAATATCGATCCAGCATGGTAGCTTTGGGGTTTTGCCTGCCTTTTGCTGTGCAATGGCCGTTCTCCGGACCTGGAGAGCCGTGAAGTTGAGCTTTCCCATGGCTGCCGGTGTGCTTGGAGGAAGAGTCTCAACAGACAAACAGGCGCACTCGAAGGGCACCAAACTGTTCAATTGAGAGAAACTCGCCCTTTTCACATAGATAGAACAGATGAAACACAGTGGAAGGCTCCGGGAAACTCCAGCGCTGCAACTGTAGATATCGGGCTGGAACGGTTTGGTTCTCCTGCTGGTGAGAAATTTGCGAGGAACTCTCAAAAGGCCTTGTTCGGCCAATCAGCGTTCAGGCCTCTTCGGTGTAAGCAAAAATTGAATATCCAATTCCACGCCGTTCAAATACAAATGCTGAATCAATCTTTCACATCCTCCCTTGATATCCCTTGTCTTCGGCAGGAAACTCTTGTTTTCTCCTCTCCTTTTCACTTGCTTCTGTTTTCTCTACTTCTCCTATTGGCAGAACAGGCGCTACAATATCCGATATTCGACTCTACCTGCGCATAGCTTCCATACCCGCAGCACTTGGATTCAATGACACCATGTCAGCTATCTCATGTCTCTGTATAGAAGCTTGGAAGGGCCAGCAGGCGCCCAGAATATCATTAACGCGGGCCGCAGTCGCCTGCGAACTAATATTTTGAGATCCTCGCAAGTAAATCGCCCCGAAATGATGCGGCGGCCGCTGTCGACTCTTCCTGTATGGACCAACAACATTCTTGTTACAGAAAGTTTTATAAGGTGCCTGGTTGCAGCGGGATTCTGCAAAAGGCATGCACCCTACAGAAGCACGTCGTCAACCCGGATGCCTCGGCCGTTTCTCCCCCCGACAGCCATCAGGCTACAGACTACCCTGAACAGCGCCTTATGTACAGAGTCAACCGATCATAGAAGCGAATACAATGACACGCCGCATCCCGAAACAGATGGGCAGCGAAATATCAAGCGAAAACGGCCGAAATATATACGAGAAGGCGACTATCGCTCAGACAAGAGGAGCCCTGCGGTGATAGTTAAGGGGCCTAAACACGGTCTACAGTCAAAGGGCACGCTTCCACAAGAGTTTAACGTGGATGATTTAACCTACAACAGGGCAAAACACGCTAATACTGAGGAGTCAAAGTTGCTTTTTGGGTTATACCTGGGTGTCCTTGGGAAAGCCGAAGGAACGACAAGTCTAAAGGTTGTGCTATCAAACCCACAGAGGGAGGTTTTGGTGCCATCTCGGCCCTGCAAACAAGCCGGGAATGATGATCTAGACGCCAATGGGGTTTCTCACCTTATCTCTCTTCTCAACCAAGAAGACTGTGGTGACCAAGAGCTTTTCGCAGCTTACAGACGGATCCCTTCACCAGGAGTTTCCTATCTTAGCTCAAAGACAAGGGGTAAACTATTGCATCGATTTGCGAAACCTGAACGTAAGGGTCGAACGGGCGTTTTCTATTACCTTACTTTGGTTGATGATATGTGTGATGCCTCCCTTGAAATGTCTCCATCTCTCTGGACTGCAGCAATCCATCTCGCAGGAAAATCTGCATCTACTGTGAAACGGGAGGATCTTGACGCTGCTATTGGCGTATGGCGGAGAATGGAGCATGAAGGCAATATATCGAGCTCCAGTGTTGCCTTCAACATTCTCTTTGACCTGGCCATAAAGTCCGGGCAGTTCCGCGTAGCGGAAAGGATTATAGCGGATATGAAGAAGCGAAAAGCCAAGTTCTCCCGGTTTGGCAGGGTTGCGCAAATATTCTTCAATGGCTTAAAGGGGAACGCCCGAGGGGTCCGTCGAGCATACGATGATTTCATCAAAGCCGGTGAAGTTGTGGACACCGTGGTTTTGAACTGCGTGATTGCGTCGCTCATTCGCTCCGGGGAAGCTAAGCTTGCCGAAATCATGTATGAAAGGATGAAGGAAGCCCACGAGAGACTCAAAAAGAATACATCCGAGAAGGCTGTCATGTATCCACTGCCATCTCAAGACTACTCTGCATATCGTAAAGCCAGTAAACGGCTTGGGAGGGTTCTTGGAATGACTTCTTATCTCCATGACAAGCTCCCAGATCATCACCGGGCGCTTCAAGCCGCTATGCCTTTGACACCAGATGCAAAGACTTTTCACATTCTTCTTTCCTACCACGCACATGTTACGGGTGATTTGGGCCGTTTTCTATCTCTTTTGAGTGAGATGGAAGGCACTTTGTCAATTCCCTCTCACGGTATGGTCTATATCCTGTTGTTTCAGGGGTTTGCCATCCATGGTTCAAAGAAGAACACCAGATGGACGTACCCTTGCCTACAGCGTGCCTGGCTCTCCTTCCTTCGTGCCGTGCGTGATTACGATGCGTCTATTCAGACAAAACCACGCACTGTAAACAGAAAGGCCAGATTCGCCTGGTCGACTGAAACATCCTTCGTTGAAGGCAAAGAACATGAAACCGAAGCAACCGCGGAGGAAGTGGAAGAAGCAGAAGAGGAATTCAAGGAAGAGGCAAATAGAATATTCCACGGGACGTTTAATGACGCTCGCGAAGAACTCGAGGACGAGTGGAAATACGAAAATAGCGTTTATCTGGGGCGAACGGTCATCATTGCATGCCTCCGCGCCTTCTTTACCTGTGGTGGAAGGTCTGCTGTTCTTGGAGTATGGGAACAGATTGATCAATTATGGCAAGGAAATTTGAAACAGAGAGATATTGATGCAGTGCGGGCAGTTCTCCGAGAACTCGTGCCGCCCCGATGTCACTGAATGAATTTTTTTTTACTATGGTTCCTATTCTCCTACTCATCTAGGAAGATATTGTCTAGATACCCCATTCTACCATGTTGTACAGTATGTATTATCCATTAGCGCCTAATGAGCCGTTTCGTTATATACCAAACACCCAGAGAATTGTATATATTATCGCATCACGCCTATCAAGTTCAAATTAGCCGCGCGCTTATAACTAATAATTGGAGTTCCACCAATGGTTCCAATCCATCCATTAATTCAATATCACGTGAAATCTCGAGGTAATTAGTTACTAACCTAAACTGGATAACTGATCAGAGAGTTTGTCGCGTTAAGTTAAAGGGATCATTTATTCAGGTAAACTATTTCGGGCAGGATATCAAACTTAGAGCTACAGCAATTCAGATGCTATGGCAGCGGGATGAGTCGCCAGCCTATTGATATCGACTTCACGCTCCGTCGAGTCTTCGGGAAAAAGTCGTTTAGGCAAGTAGAGAGTACTTCATGATGTTATATGAATACCAATTCTGACCTACTCCCAGGCCCCTTCAACGCGAAGTTATTCAGGCTGCCATCGAAGGACATGATGTATTTCTTCAGGCAGCAACGTCTTTTGGCAAAAGCCTGTGTTTCCAACTACCAGCGGTAGTTGCTCATGGAGGTTAGCTAACTCCCCAGCTTCCAGATTATCGTCTAGGTAGGGTAGCTAAGAGGGCATTTAAAGTCACTGTTGTGGTTTCACCGCTCTTATCGTTGATGGTACGTTGTATTAAACAGATCTGCGGATAATCCTAGGCAAATATCTTATCTCTAATGCTACCTAGGTGGACCAAGTTGCGAGTCTTGAGGCTAGAGCCATACCAGTCGCAACTATTAATTCTACAACCCCAGGATCCAAACGCAAGGAGATCCTCGCGGACATTCTGTCAGGACATCCAGTGACTCGCCTTTTATATGTTACCCCAGAATTTTGTCAGACTGAAACATTCAGGCGAAGTATTTCAACGGTACATCAACAAGGAGAGCTCACAAGAGTTGCAATTGATGAGGCTCATTGTGTTAGCGAATGGGGTCATGACTTTCGACCTGCATATAAGGCCCTTTCCTGGTTCAGGCGAGAACTAAAGGACCCTATCGTACCCATGACTGCTCTAACAGCTACTGCAACAGCTCGTGTTCGTCATGACATATTTAACCTTCTTGGGCTGGATACAAGCACTTTAAAGAAATTTAGTACATCATCGGCCAGACCAAACATTCACTATGAAGTGAAATATCTCCCAGAATGTGCCTATGATCTGACGGTACCAGAAGATAACCAAATAGACCACCTTATATCCTGGCTAAAAGGAATACATCATCGTCGTCTGTCCCGGCTATCACGGCTAACCAATGATGCACAGGGTGAAATGAATGCAAGTCCTCTGGTTCCTCCTCCAATGTATGGGATCATATATGTGCCACTGAGAGCACTGTGCTGTGCTATCTCCAGCATTCTAAGCTCATACTCGAGTTTCAATATAAAAGCTGTTTCTTACCATGCTGGCCTTGCACCTACAGAAAGGGAGAGGATCCAAGCAATGTGGGCGGCACCTCATAAGAATGCAACACCACCTAAAAATCCAGCCAAGATAGCCGATACACGAAATCAGAAATCTACACCCCCGGCTTTCTACATTATTGTTGCGACGAACGCATTCGGAATGGGCATAGATAATCCTAACGTGCGCTTTGTTGTACACTGGACTCCGCCGCGTACCTTCGAAAGCTTTGTGCAAGAATCTGGGCGTGCTGGTAGGGATGGCTGTGCGGCCATTTCTCTAGTCTACTACAACCCGTCTGAATGTGTCAGAATAATCGACCGTATCCGCCAAACGGGAGACTTCGCGAACGAAACAGTCCGGTTGACAAGTAAAAGGACGTTTGAACACCTCACCGCTGCCGAACTCAAAGCCCAGGAAGAAGCAAAAGCTCAAAATACAGAAGCTATTCTAAGAAGTTTTGCAAAAGTTGTTAAATATTGTGAAACAACGGATCGGTGCAGACATGCTATGATTCGAGAGTTTTCAGATGACCTTGAATTGGAGCTTGCTCGGAATAGACCCGAGCTATCGTCTCAAATTGCATGCAGGTCATCTGAGTCAAAGCCAAAGAGCCTTGCTGTGTGCGACTATGCATGCGACCACTGCAAAGAGGGTAGTGTTGTTTTGGCACAGAGGAAAAAGGCCGAGTTGAAAAGCGCCAACCAGCTATGCGAGAATGAAGAAGGGGAAGACGCCGTCTACACCAAGATGAATCTATTGCATTTTATGGAATCGTACCTGGCCAGACGCGAGACTAACTACCTGGTCGATATGTTCCCATGGTAACTTGGAGTTATTTCATTCTTCTTTGCGTAGGAGGCGGCTATTTGCAACTTCCCTTCTAGAACATGACCTTGGAGCACACAAGGCACATTACTCTGATCTGTATAAAATATATTATAGGGAACAAGCCTTGGGAATGTGGGACAGTTAAGGACGGTCAATAAGTAAAAATATATCGGAATCTACGTATACTATTTGTACACTTTCTCAGTTTTATATACCTGCGTTCCTGGCTTGCTTTTTAGGTCTGCTTTCTCTCTTTGAATATACTATCTATAACTTATGTGCTAAGGGCAGCGAACTTAGAAGTTTAATAGAGAAAGGTATAAGCAACCCCTTCCATACTGAGTAAACACATCATATACTAAGAACCAGGACGAGTATTAGATTTACCGTACCAAGACATGGGCCCATCCGTTGCGAGGTGGCAAGAGTTGAGTATTGTTATATATTTATTTGAATATTAAACCTTTTGCTTAAAAGAAATCGCAAAACAAAAGCTGGCTTCGAAAGGTGGCCTGCTGTCCAAATGAAACTTGGAATATTGTTTGCATTCTGACATTTCATATTATCCCAAAGGTGCAATAATCAATTTTATTAGACTTTAGTAGATTCTTGACACCTATCTAGAATGAAGCAAGGCAGCTAGAGACCTGGTGGCGGTGGGACCTAGAAGGTAGCATTAGCGAGTAAGTTCACATCAATCAAAATCGCTGAACAAAACTTACTGAATTATACCCGCCAGAAGGAGGCGGTGGTGGAGGAGGGGGTGTTTCTGATGAAGGCGGAGGTGGAGGGGGTGGGGGCGCGGCGGACTCAGGAGGTGGTGGAGGCGCAGTAGATCCAGCCTGTTGTTGTTGCTGTTGCTGCTGTTGTGCAGCTTGTTGGTAATATTGATAATAAGCAACATAATTTTGATATCCTCCATACGCAGCATAGGGGTCTTGACCGCCATAGTATTGGGCATCCTGAGAACTATAATCCGGCTGAGCGCCACCTGCAGGTGGAGCAGGCGTTGCTCCAGGGCCAGACTGCGGAGTCATCCCCGATGGTGTTTGAGGAGAAGAATGATTGTTATATCCTCCGCCGCCATGATGACCGCCTCCAGAGGAGTAGCCCATACCATATTGATGGCGATCGCGATGACCGTAGCCTCCACCACCGTGGTAGCCTCGTTGTGGTGGTGGATTTTCTTTGAATTTCTCATACTGTTCCTTGACATTGCTGAGTAAATCCTCACACAGGGCTTTGGCATTTTGGACTTCATTAGGGTCGGGTCCGCTAAGAAGATGTCAGAACAAGAACAATGGGATGATAAAGACCGTTAGCAAACTCACGCAACATGCAAATACATTGGTTCATCACTTTCTTGGTTAGTGCCATGTTCCTTGAATCCCGATCCGCGGCCCTTGATCTGGACACGGCAGTGAGTTTTCTGCTGGATGTGCTTCACGTATTGACCTCCCTGGCCAACAACTTGCGCGCGCAAATTAAAGCCAGGGATGGGTTCCAGGTCGATTGGAATGCGTTCTTCGGGCCATTTTGGCTACATACCATTGTTAGCGTTTGAGTTGGGAGAGTAAAATTAGCTACAATAGCATCCAACTTACCCGACCAAATTCATCCCTCTCAACGCGCTCTGGTGGCTCCCTTCGGCGGAATCTTCGTTCATCAACCAGAGCGGGGAGCTCCTGCTTCATGAGCTCCTCAATTTTTTTGATAGCTTTATCCAGGCCCTCTCTTGTTCTACTAGTAACATGCAAGTAAAGTGGCGGATTCTAACAAAGTAATGTTAGATTTTGGTCATATATAAAATGTTAAGTGGAAGCAGAAACAGGGGGTATACTATTGAGGACTTACCGAAGGGGTTGCCATGCTTTTGTCCGGAAGATAGTTTCCTCTAGTGGTGACATCTTTTTCAAAAATAATGAGCATATTCTCTTAACCAACAAGTTTGTTTCTAGAATGCAAAACGGGGTGGGAGGAGAACTGTCGTACCGGCGCCAGTTTCTTCTTTAATCTAAATCACGCAGCGGAGGTCAGCAGATGCAAAATAGCGGGAGTTAGGTGCTATGAAGAATTGTGGGTAAGCTTCATCCATCATCACAAAAGTTGACGCAACGACGTGCTGATCAAAGATCAATCATGATAGAAAGTGAGAATACATCCCCCAGCGAGTAGCTGGTAATGCCCCGCCCCATACTTGGAGTTAGTTCCAGGGGAATAATATCTCGAGCCACACAAGAGCCTGGGAATATCAGCGGATATATTGTAGAGATATTTACCATCTTTTGAGTAGTGCTTTTCGTAATAGTATATCGGTTTCGGAGATCGTTGACTTCGATGTCTTTAATGTAATCGCCATCTGCCATGTATACTTCACCATTTATATGAGCAACCGAGGACGATGCCTTTGTAGAAGGGCTGGAAACCTAAGCCAACAGTCAGCCAAATAGGAGATGCAAGGGTACTACTGCTTGAACATACCGAGCGTCCTGGCGGAGTGGAGGATGGCTGATAGCCCTGCCTTGCTTGTATCTGCTCCTTTATTCTGGCGGCCGCGGCAGCTGTCGAATCACAAGCATGATGGTTAGCTATCCAGCCTTCAATCCATCATATATATCTCATGTAGCAAACGGGGTCAATATCAGATCGAACTCACCAGCGGCGGCCGCCGGGTCCGAGGGAGTGGCGGGCTTGCTCGCATCCTCTGAGCCCGGGCTGGATCGACGGTTTATCGGGCTACGATCCCGCACCGGCTCTGAAGCTCGAGAAGACGGCGAGCGCGAGCGTCTATCAAATCGAGACTGGCGTTTTGGTTCAGGCTCAGTTTGGTCAAACCGAGAGCGTTTAGTTCGCCTGTCACTATCCGACATTCTGGCTGTTTCGACGATCAGAGCTGGGCAAAAGGTATAAATGGACCAATAGGTTGCAAGCGAAGCTCTTTTTCTCTCCTGCGAAACGGATTTCTTCCTTCCCTCTCTCTCATCAATTCCATCTCTCGCGATCAAAGCTTGGATGTTTTTTTAGTTTAATTTTATTTTATTTTATTTTTTTTCCCCTTTGGTCGGCCGATCTGATTAATCATCATTATCACGTGAACGTCACATGACACTAGCGCTAGTCCTAAAATGTCCAAGCTTCTTTTCTCCGATCTCGGCTCTTAGTCATTATCACATGATCATGCTCCGGCCCAGCAAAAAGAAAAAAAAAAGAAAAGAAATAAAATGGATATTAGAACTACTGCTATTATTTATTATTACTCACAAGCTGCCTGACTCAAAGGGCGAAGCGAAGGAGATAAAAGGATCTCTCGCTCCTCCTGGAGAACGAGTGGGATTTCGCTGATCTGTCCAGCATCAACTCGATGGCCTCTAAAGCTCTCTGTCGCGGCCAATTGCGCCGGGCATGGATTGCAGGCGAGAATCCATGTCAGCGTCTGAGCTTAAAGAGCTATCATCATCACCAGAGATACCACCAACAGCAGCAGATCAGACTGTCATCCAGCTCAACCTCTGCCCTCGCATACAAGGCTCTTCACAGGCGCTCACCTCCTCCGCTGCCCGTCTCTGACACATCGCCGCAATGGTCTGCCCCCGCCGCAGTGTCCTCAATTCTTTACGAGACCCCTGTTCCGTCCACCAAGCCTCCGAAGCGCCATGTGCTCAACTGCCTTGTACAGAACGAACCTGGCGTGCTGTCTCGAATTTCCGGAATCCTAGCGGCGCGAGGCTTTAATATTGACAGTCTTGTCGTATGTAATACCGAAGTCGAGGACCTGTCAAGAATGACCATCGTGTTGCGCGGCTTGGACGGCGTTGTCGAGCAGGCCCGTCGCCAGCTGGACGACCTTGTCCCTGTCTGGGCTGTCCTGGACTACACAGACTCTGCCCTCGTCCAGCGAGAGCTGCTGTTGGCGAAGGTCAGCATCCTGGGACCTGAAGTCTTTGAGGAGCTGCTTCAGCATCACCAGGAAATGTCTACTCCCGAGAGTGATACCAATAACCCGTCCTCCGAAGAAGCTCAGCATCGAGAAATGCACAAGGTGGACGGGTCACTGTCTGAAATTGCCGACTATCATCCCAATAGACTGGCTGCCAGTGAGGCTCTTCGACATAAGCATGAGCACTTAGAGGCTATTACTCATCTGACACATCAGTTCGGAGGAAAGGTGCTGGATATTAGTACCAACAACTGCATTGTTGAGCTGTAAGCTGAGCCCTCCATTAAATTGTAGTTAGGTGGAACAAGCGAAAAACCGGTCTGATGACTAACTTTCTATCATTAGCTCCGCGAAACCCAGTCGTATCAACTCGTTCCTTAAGCTTATCTCGCATTTTGGTATCCTCGAGTCTACTCGAACTGGTCTCATGGCCCTGCCTCGTTCTCCTTTGACCTCGCCAGCTGAGGAGGTCGAAAAAGAAGCTGCCGACATTGTCGATACAAGCACCCTACCACCCGGTTAAACAACACAACCTTATGCTCAGGCTTTTATTTTACCATCCTGGTTCTGTCTTAGGTGTATGTAATATTATATCTGCCGGCGTTTCTTTTTTACCCCCTTTTTTATTGATGAGAATGTCACTGGAAACTCGCAACCAGTCGTATCTCTTAAATCTTCCCAGTCAGATCTAAAAGGTCGGGTCAGCGTGAGCTTTTGAATTATCCCATATTTCCTGGCTTCCCTGGTCACGGAGAACTTGAGCGTCGTACAACCAATTCTTATGAATATTGTGCCTACCGATTGACATATAATGAAGCAGAACACAATAAAGTCACATTCATTAAAGGACTGTTTCATATAATATACGAGGCACAATTCTAGACCGAGAACCAATGATAAGTGCAAAAGGAAAACACTGAGCGGTCTAAACTGCATGCGAGGCACACTCTGGGTATATCAAGTAGTAGGGAAAAGAGACAATGGTGTATAAATGCAAGAGGCTCAGAAAGTAATGAATGGGAAACACAGAGCAAGAAACCTGGAAAGGGCAAGCCATTGGATGTTGCGGCTGGAGGGTATGAGGAAGCCCGTCACTCTCAGGGGCTTTCATCTCAAGAAACAGCACGAAAAGAAAAGTCGTTAATCATCAAAAAACATATACAGTTGAACAGCCCAACGCGAGGCACAAACAGTCTTCACCCCCGACTGAATGGCCGTCTCTATTGTCAAGGCTGGCAGTCCGAGCAAATCCCACAATGCAGACGGGAATGCTCTTCTCCAACCTTCCTCGAGCAGTTGCAGTCCCGAGAGAAGATGGTTTCGATGGCACCGCATCGATAGTATAGCAGCTTCTTGCACATGGTTGGTAGGATATAGAGATATCTTGCTCTCTCTTGCGGCCTAGGTTCGGCTTCAGATGACGGAATATTTAGCTAGTCAGGCTAACCGATTATTGCACAGGCTCTGTTGCTCTGCTCTGGGAATATCAATGTTGAATCCCGGCTGTCTGTCTCATGGATCAGGGCCTATACGATCTGAGCCCAGGTTAGCTTTAGCCAATACACATGGCACTTATATTCTCCGAGTGAAGCCATACTTGCTAGCCCTTTGACGATCTTTCCCTTGAGATGGTTAAATCTCTTCAACTGAGTAGTCATCCAATTTCTCCTGAAAGTGAGTGCCTCAGACCAGAAGAACGGAAGAAGGAACGAAAATAAGACCAGGTCCGGTGGGCCGGGGGAGGGAGATATAGATTTATATATCTCTGCCCTGCCCGTGTACTCCATATACAACTATTTCCGTCCGTATATCTTCATATGCTGGAAAGGGCGGATCTCACCACCCAGCCAAACAGGGGGGTGGGTGGGTAGAAAAGGGGGGGGCCATGACAGCAAACGAACGCCCAAACAGCAACAAAACAGAAGACTAAGGACCAAAAATAAAAGAAAAACACGATACGATGGAGCAAGAAACGTCATGGGTCGTACGGAACGATAGCATAGCGTCAGGGAGGAAAAGAAGGCCGGTTTCTTGGGCATTAAAAATCTCACTACATCGACTAACTAACTAACTAGTAACAACACTTTGCCATCGGAGGCGAACAGATGTTAGAGATTTGCTCCACTCAACGGCATCCTTATTTTTATATCATGCATTATGCGTTTCGAGGGATCGCTGGCCGGGGATGCCGTGTTGTGACATGCAGGATACATACACGCATAACACGCAGACAGACAGACATGCTGCGTATATACGCTCAGCCCGGGCGGAGGCTAAGATTCGATAGGGGCCAGCCTTGTGCTCTCCTTTAGGCGGAGGATGCAGAAAAACGAGAGACGAGAAGACGAGGACCTTGACCATGAGCGTTGAAGGCGAGCATGGTGAGCGTCTCCATGACCTACCGGGACGGTTGAGCAGTGGATTTAGTTGAACTGCTCGGCCGCCTTTTCTTTGCTTTTTTGTTCCTTTCATACCTATTCTGATATCTTGCAATTCCGCTCTGGTGGGCATTGTAAACACGTAAGTCCGTCCCCAGTCTCCTCTGTTATCTCAAAGAATATGCGCTGACCGGAGATACAGTCCATGGCTAACTAATTATATCGGATAATCCAATATTTAGCTAGCCATCCAATCGACTGGGCGAAGTGTGTATCAAACCGTCCTCGAGCTGGCCACTGAGAGCACTCTCAACACTCCACTCTGACAGATATTAAACAGGGGACGCCTACCACAATATCGGTGAGTCCAAGGGACGGCCACCATGCGGTGAGGCGGTAGATGCAAGATACCCCGGTGCTACCTGAGCCGTGGTATCATATGGGCGGGACAGCAGGGACTGGAGGGGGTTTCAATATCCTGTCGAACTGCCTGCGGTAATCAGTCAATAACTAGCTGTTGTTATTCTGCTTGCAGCCGTCTGGTGACTTGCATGCTGCGTATCTATGCCAAACACGCGGTGCAACTACTCCG